AAAGGAGAGATATATCCTTGCAGGCTTGCACCCACTTTCCTCTTGTAAAGCAGCACAGCCTGCCAAACCCACTCTCGGTTAGGTGACCATAAGTGAGGCCCAATGCCATCCCCGTTGTTCTAGATTGCCGTGCAATTAACTAGCACTAACAGTTCTATATTTCTAATTGTTTTTTGTTTATATGAACTGCTGTTAATTTAAGTCACCTTTGCATGGCAAATATTAATATATCTGGAGTCAATATTGTGGCCTGGTATACATCTTTTGGGCCCAGGTTAGTGGTCAAAAATTCATAGTGAATTTTCTGGGAAATGGCTGAACTTTGTTTCTTTTTCCAAATAAAGTTGGGGGAAAATTTGTCGAAGCAGCAGAGCAGTAGTCACATTATCTATCCCTATAATTGATAGTCAACTATGCAGGTTTCCTGCAAATGTAGGTGTTATTTTTGCTTAAGCAATCATGATTGATAACGCTATTCTTAGTTTATACGCGCACGGCTTTCAATAATTGGAATGTAATTATGAGCGGTTTGTTTGCTAACATTAGTGTCAAGTTTCTTAAATTTGATAAACAAGTGGGTGTGTTTTATAAGTTTGTTACGAGCAATTTGCTCGTTCTTTATGGGGATATTATACGGTGAAGGTTTGGTCAATTATATAGCCACTAACATAAGAATCTAATGTTCCGTAGCTTAATGACTCCAATGAATAGAAGAGATTTGAGTTTTATTAAATCTAAGATGCACCCGTACAAAAGGATTTATATCGACTTGAATGTTTGAGAAACAAGAACAGTGTCCATGGTCAAGATTGAAGGCAGATATTGGTTTCGTGGCAGTAGAAAAATATTATTTCGAAATTGAGATCTCATTTAGCTATCTACCAGATCATGTTTTACTGTGCTTTCTTAAAGCCCTTATGCAGTACCCTGCGTATGTGAACGCACATACAAAGTCTTCGTGCCTGAGAGAACCATGGATGTTTTTATTCTGGGGATAGTATAATGGGATCTTTGCTTGCATCGATGATGTTCTAGCAGAAAACTTGAATGGTGGTGATCTGACAGAAGATGCAGGCCCTCATTTGTATTAAAATAATGCTCTTGATAGAACTTGAAATCAGATTAAGAAATTTGTGGGTGTGTGCACGTATGTATTGGAGGGTGAGGTGGGATCAAAACACTGGGGATTGGCTGTTGCTGGGTCTGAGATGTTTATTTTTTCTTTAAAATAAATTGATAGGTGAAGGGAATGCTATCACTAAAAAATAACCTTCCAAGAGAGTTTGTGTTCTTTATATTTCAGACAGACAAAAGAATCAAGGGTTGTGTTTTTCCCCTCATGGCATGCAAGCACCTCGGTGTTTTTCATGTGTTCTGTCATCTTCATTGCCATTCTTTGCTTGCTAGAAGTAGATAAGTAATCAAGTTAATTAACCTTGAATTTACTTGTAATCTTTTTCCTTAATTCCCTCCCTTGCTTCTCATTCTATCCGACACACACCAACCCTGAGTTGTTTGTGTGATGTCATTGTTAGCAAGTTGAACCAACATAAGAAGCGTAAGCGTATGGTAAACAATTGAAGAGCAAGAATCAAATGTTTGCGGCATTAAAAAAAACAGTTTGAGCTGAAGTGCTGAATTGACCTTGCCTTCCATACATGCTGCGCTTTGCACGAATTTCATGATCTTGTTGATATTTGGTTGTACCAGTTGAGAAATAGCCAGTACCAAGAACTGTTACATGATTATAAAATATTTAAAATACTTGAAGAGGATTCTAGTCTTGCTATTTGCATTTCTTAATGGAAATTGAGGAAATTTGATCACCAAATCTTTGAAGAATATTTTTGTGCAAGAATTCTGCAGATCAGGGGTTTCGTATGCCATTGAACGGATGATCTATCAAAAGAAAGTGTTTTGACCACTTGCATGAAAGACATTTTGTAGACATGCGACATTTTAATCTGCTTCTACTGCTGCAATCTAATAACAGATTCCTCCATGGATCACATGAAGCTTGTGCTGCACAACATTTTGTATTTACTGAGCGATGATTCTGATGTGGATGGTTTTCTCATTATCACCGAGGGTTTGAATTTCAAAAGCGGTTATATATATATATATATATATATATATATAGGGAAGAATTTTGATGCACGAAAATTGACCGGAAAAGTTTCTCTCTTTTTTTTTCTTATTTTTCCGATAACGCATAGAGATCTTTATTAGCAGTAAAATTGAGGGTCCGAATTTAGTAGCGAGTAAGCCAGGATTCTACATGATAAGGCTCTGATTGTTAAAAAAAAAAAAAAAAAGGCAAATTAGGATTTACCATCGAATTATAATGCTGGTGTCCCATTGCTTCAACGGGGGCATTCAATTGTGTCCAGATGTGGTATGTGTCTCACTCTTAGTCAACCCAAGAAAAAGTTCGAAACATTTTTTTATTTGAATGTTTAATGACAAGAAGCAATTGCAAAGATTGTGTATATATAGCAAGCCTTGTTTTTGGTGAGAGTGGAGAAGCAACCAAAGTAGAGAAAAGAGAAGTTCAATAAGAAGATGGGGAGGTCTCCCTGTTGCGATGAGAATGGTCTCAAAAAAGGACCATGGACTCCTGAAGAAGACGAAAAGCTTGTTGATCACATCAAAAAACATGGTCAGGGAAGTTGGAGAGCTCTCCCAAAGCTTGCAGGTCCGAATTATAATACCTCTTTGTCACATACAAAAAAAATAAGGACAGAAATAGGTGTTCAGTTGTTTTTCTCTTTGCAGGTCTTAATAGATGTGGCAAGAGCTGTAGGTTAAGGTGGACAAATTACCTGAGACCTGATATAAAGAGAGGAAAATTTTCTCAAGATGAAGAGCAAACGATTCTACATCTTCATTCAATTCATGGAAACAAGTAATTCTACGCGTTACCTTTGGCTGCTTTGAATTAAGAGCTATATTTTTAGAACTCTTTTAACTACTTGGATTCATTATCAGAAACACTAGCATGACTAATTTGTTGTTGCATACCAGATGGTCAGCTATTGCTACCCATCTACCAGGCCGGACGGACAATGAAATTAAGAATTTCTGGAACACCCATTTGAAGAAGAAGCTAATTCAAATGGGTTTTGATCCAATGACCCACCAACCAATAACTGACTTCTTTGCTAGCTTGCCTCAGCTCATGGCCCTCGCTAACCTGAGAGAACCAATGGAGCATCATCCATTAGATGAAAATGCCATGGGATTGCAAGCAGAGGCTCTACAGTTAGCTAAGCTTCAGTATTTACAGTGTCTTCTCCAATCAGCAGCTTCATTAATCCCCTCCGCCAACTCTTATGACCAAAACGGCATTACAGACCTGGAAGTTCTCAATCTGTTGAATTCAATTCCACCCATAAAAGAAAACCCAGTACTAAATTCATCAGAACTTGAGAATCAAGGCTCATGTCACTTTGGAAATGCTACCTCTCAACTACTTCACCATCCAAGTTTATTGTCTCAATTGTCTGCCCCACAAGTCCCTTTCAGTTATCAACCATCTTTGAATACTGAGATGGGTCAAGCTCCATTTTTAACTACAATTCTCAGCCAAGGAGATAGAAACCCATCTGATTCTTCATGGGTGCTTCCTTCTCCCACGCTTGCTCCTCAAGCTGCAACCGAGACTTCCAGAAGCAATCCAGGTGATGCTTGCAGCATTACTTTTAGCTATGGTGGAGTAACTTCTTGGCCCGAGCTTCTTTTTGAAGGTCCTATCATGCATGATATTTCCTAGTTAATTATACTGTCTGATGAGAGGTTTGGATTTGTATCACCATGTGTTTTCTGATATTCTAGCCATCCCATCTTTTACATGTACCATGTATAAGCACCAGCAGCACAACACGCATGCATTTGCATGTACTCATGCGTACAATTGTGCATGTACAAAAAGACTTGTGTAAAAGCGTATTATGTACATGTTCTTTTATTAAAAAAAATAAACGATATCAATTTTAAAAAAGTGTTGAAATTAATTTTTAACTAATCAAATAATAAAAAATAAAATTAAAAAAACGAAGTTAATTTTAACTAATAACATAATAAAAAATAAAATTAAAAAAACATTGAAAATAATAAAAAAGCAATTGTAAATCAAAAAAGTTTTCAAACCATATGGATGAATTCTCTAATTTCATGGGTCAAATTATGAAATCAAGATAAACTAACATAAAAAAATTAAAAAAAAATGAAATCTAATTTTTTAAAACCAAAATTGAATTATGATGAAAAAAATCCATAAAAAAATGGGTATCAATCCTTGTTAGCTTATAAATCCCATATCCTCGCCGATCATTTGATTAGAAGCATCAAATATAAAAAAAAAATTATGAATCTAAATTTTTAAAATTTTAAATATTGAAGGATAAAATAAAAAATTATTAAAAATTAAAAAATCAATAATTGAAACTTAGAAAAAGATGCGAGCCACTCGGGTTAACCAATTAAATTTATAAATAAATTATAAGATCAGGATAACCGTATTAAAAAAACAAATAACCCCATAAAGCTTATTAAAAAAAAATCAATATTAAGTAATGAGCTCAAAAAAATAAGTTAAAAAAACTATGTAAAGTTATGTTAGCTTATAAAACTAAGTTTAAGGAAATTTGATTGAAAGTTGTACAGAAGACAAACATGAATTTTTAGAGACCAATACTTAAATATTCTTAATTAAAAGGATTTAACTGAAATTTTAAATGTCAACCATAAATTTCTAAATTTCTAGGGAGGATTAAGAAAAAAAAAAAGTTTTCAGTTTGTTTCCATTTGCCAGTAGTTTAAAAAAGAAATGAAAAGAAAGGAGCTTTTTTTTTTATCTATTTTCCCCACCTTGATTTATGACTGAGATTGACGTTTATTTACTTCGTAATATTTTTGTATTTTAATTATTTCTATATATGCAGTATCTTCCAATAGTGAATATTAAAATAATTAGGTTGGTAAACATGAAGTACTGGATATTTGTGTTTCCTCAGGAGCAGAGACCAACAACAAGCAGAGCCAATTGATAATCAGGAACTTGAGCTCTACATGTCCATAGTCACTCTTTATATACAATCAGGAGGAAAATTTCTGTTGCAAGTTTTAGCGTTCTGATAAGTGGTTAGTTTTTAAAATATTTTTTTATTTTAAAATTTTTTAAAATTTTATTTTAATATTAAAATGATTCAAAAATAAAATAAAATATTAATCTCAAATAAAAAAATTCAAACTTTTTAGAACACAATTTTTACTACAAAAACAAGCATGCACTCGATACTTATCAGGAAAACAGAGAGTGGGAGGGGGGGGGGGATATTACTCAGGGGCGAAGAAGTAATTAAGAAATGGTAGGAGTTGAATAGAGCGTTTCGAATGAGAAAATTAAGATCTGCGCTTGAAATCATACATGGAGGTTTTGCAAGAATTGCATTTGCTTTTGGCTGGAAATTGAGACGATAAATTCTCACAACGAAGAGAAGCGTCGAACGAATGGTCTCAGATTTATTTTGCTGTCTGTGTCTTCGGCAACTTGAGAGTTCTCCGTTGGTGAAACCTAGCTTGAGATCTCACCTCGCTGGCGGCAGTGCAGTAGTGCACGAGGAGCAGTTTATATGTGCCTATTTTTCAAAGTAGCGTAAATTCTGGATTAGATTCACCATAATCACTAACAACTCCGAACACGTTGCCTCGGTTTCTTAACTATTTCCTGCTCTTCCCTTGGCAATCATGTCATGCTGATTATAAGCAAACCAATTTGTTGGTCTAAAATTCCTTTGTGCAGCCAGTAATCATAATCAATCACTAAAATTACAGTTTTATCTTTTAATCACCATAATCGTGTTTTTTAAAAAATTTCTTATAAAAAAATTATTTTTTTATTTTTCAAACATTTTAATATGTGGATATCAAATTCTTTTTAAAAATAAATATAAAAAATACTATTTTAATATATTTTTAAATATAAATAATCTTAAATAATAACTACTACTATAATTCCCAACAATCTTCTATTCGAGTAGCCTAGGTGGTAGCATGAGCCTATAACTGGGTAGCGTGCAGGGAGGTCTTCCCAAAAAAATACCTGGGGAAGATTGTTAAGGACATTGAAAATCCTCGTCGTAAGAGTATCTCTAGTGAAAAAAACTAAATGAATGATTAAAAATAAAAAATTAATATTTTAATTTGTTTTGCTTGATTTTCATATTCTAAAAGAAAAATCAAATAAAATATTAAAATGTCTCTTTTTTTTATAAATATTATTTCTATATATCTTTTAAAAGAGCTAAAACTAATAAAGTGAGGTCAACAAAAGAATAAACCAATTAAATCTAGCCATATAAAAAAAAATATCAAAATCATTAAAAAAATAAAACACTTATTTAAAAGAGCTAAAACTAATAAAGTGAGGTCAACAAAAGAATAAACCAATTAAATCTAGCCATATAAAAAAAAATATCAAAATCATTAAAAAAATAAAACACTTATTTATTCTACTCTAATAAAATTGAATTTTCAAATGGTTTTTTTCCATTGAAATATACATAAAAAAAAGTTATATTTATATTATTTAAAATATTATTTTATTAATTTAATTTTTTAAAATAGTATCTTTAATTGTAGATGCTCTAAGAGAGGGGAAGGAATGAAAGCCAGGATTCATATCAATTAAAAGCTAGTGCAAATAAGAATATCCAATAGAGATCAAACGAAAATATCAATGAAGAAATGGGTGAGGAAGATTTGAATAAGCAAAGGTCCCCGGAAATACAGGGATAAAAGTCATAATAAAATCTCAATTTCCTTGCAGAGCAGTTAAGACTTGATTTCTTTTCCATCAAGAATTGACTTCAATTATCACAAATTAATTATTTTATTAAATGTCTTTATAATAAGCCACTTACTTACCACAATTACAACTGGCAATGAACCAGTGGACTTTATAACTTGTACGTAAGCTCATTTAATGATTATTTCTACTTGGATTAACATGTAAAATACACTACTTAATTGTAAAACCAAAATAATTTTATAAAAATAAATTAAAATAAATTATAAAATTTAATTTTTAATTAACTTTATACTAAAAGATATAATTAAAAAAGTTCCAATAAAAAAAAACTATAATCAACAGTTTAGTTTGCTTAACCTATAAATTGATTCATGAGATCAAGATAATTATAGTTAACTGAGTTAGTTTACCAAATTCGCAAACCGTTTTATAATATTAAAATAATTTTATAAAAAATAAATTATAAAAAATAATTCTCAATTATCTAATATTAAAGAATAAAATTATACTAAAAAAATACAAAAAATATTCAAGTAACTTAATTAACTTATAAAATTTGCAATACAACTTATAAAAGCGAGCTAACCTCTATAAAAGGAATCATAAAATTTAATGAAAAATAGATTTAAAAAGAAAATAAAACCTAAAAAAACATTATTAAAATTAATAATATTTTATAAAGTGATGTACGGTTTATCACCATAGTAAATAGGGAAAATAAAATAGAAAATGGTTTAGGTTTCTTCTTCTCCTCCCTTGTATCGTATTTAAAGGACTATAGTGAATTTTCATCACCTAACGCTACCCCATTTGCTGGATACTCCTCGAAGTTTCTTATGTCATGGCCAATTTCGAGCATAATCTATGGATGCTATAGACAATGTGATGGATGATTAATTAGGAACGCATCACATGATCTCTGAGTTTATATATATATATAGTTGGTGGCATCGACATGAAAATGATGACTACAGATGAAAATGTCAAAAAAAAAAATGTTGTTATGGATATTTATTACGAGTAAGATAAATATTCCCCAAAATCGTTCGAATTATTTAAAATATAAATTTTTATTATCATAAAATTAAATAAAAAGAGGTTTTGTACATCAACCGCGGTGAGGCGCGTATACAGAACTAGTTTCTTTCTAAACAAAGGGCCAATTGAGCCAGAATGCAAGTTGCATCTTGGATTTTTGAGAAATTGGGTCTTTTCTTGGGCCAACTGCCTAAAACAGTGTAACTACGTCATGACCAAGTTTATAATGAATGGCCTAGCCCAATGAAACGACAGGGTGTCGTTTGTTAGTCTCTCTTTGTTAGTTGTTGGTGGCTCTTCGCTGTCAGGACGAGAACCAGTTGCCTTTCATCCCCTTTTCTGGAGTTAAAATAGATCAAACCTGCCACCTGCCTTGTAGAAGTGTTAAACAAAAAAAACCTCTAATATTTATATTATTTGATCTAACATTTCTTGTTAAAATTAGTTGAATAATATAGCTATTATAGATGATAGTAAATTAATAAATCTAAAAAATAAATTATTATTTGTTCTAACCATTTTTATTGAAATTAGTTGAATAATATAGATAAATCTAAAAATAAACATTACATGTCAGGTCATAGTTGAAATTTTTAAAACCGGATTAATCCTACTCAATCCTTATATCTTATACTCATCTTATTTTTATATTTATATCTTATACTCATCTTATTTTTATATTTAATAATTTATGGATTGAGTATTTAAATTTTTTATTTAAAAATGCTTCGATGCCAAAGTTTTTACTAGTGGGCTCTTATTATATTTTTTAACATGATAAAAAAAGGCTTGTCTTTTTATTAAAGGGAAGAGCAAAGATAACTAGAATTTAATGGTAGTATAAGATATGAAAAATAGATTTAATATTAGAGTATCATGACGTCTACTATTCATATTGTAGATTTGTCTCTAAATATAGACCCATAGAATTAATAATATAAGCTTAGCTTGTGGATATATATAATAGCCATAAAAATTTAACCCAGTCTAATACATTCAAACCTTT